TTAAAGTAGATTATTACTCTATGCCCCAGCTGTGGCAACGTTCATTACTCTATGCGGTCCCACGTTGTCTAACGGTTGCTACACGATGAAGTAATTAGTGCACGTAACAGAACCTGATGGGGAAAATGTCTGAAACTCGTCGTTATACGTCCTTAACAACAAATATCACCACAGATGAATGGTGGTTGAAAACAAGAATAGTTCATAGTAAATAAAGCTTATTTTATTTTTTCTTCACATTCTAGGCCTCTAAGCTCTAGGCTCTAGCATGTACAAAATTATAAAATCCATTGGTGATTGGCAGGATTTGAACCTGTATCCACGGGAACAGAAGCCCCGCACACACTCTACCACTAGGACAGCTCTCTCTCCTACAGAGTAATGAAAACGTAGATCTATTCACAAGAAAACTATGAAGGTCTTACAAGAGAATTCAGAGTTGAATTTGACTAGTCTTGGTCAGGTTGCACTGTTTCCAACAAAATTATGCTAGGTTTCAAAAGAAATCATGCAGCGATGACTCAATTCTACAATTATTGACTCTGTGAACTAACCTTGAACAACGGGGAGAGCTCAGTTAAACCCATTGACTGTCAAAGGTTAAACTACAGATGGTATTGAGATAAGAGAGGCTACATCACGTTTGTGGGATTTTAATACCATTTTAGTTGCCCTTGGAGAAGATACTGAGCGGAACATTGGTCGTGACGGTGCAACTAGTTTGAAGATCACAGAATGCAAAAGATAACTACACCACGAAGCGGTGGCTTCAGATGAGTTGGTTGTTAATCATAAACTTTCTCAACAACAAATTTGTAGGCCATATTTCTGTTGAACACCAATACTATTAATGTCTGAGAACAAGCATAATATAATGAACGGGTATATATAAAAATGGTAAACGATACGAAAAGTACCCGCATTCACACCTGAAGGTTGCCGGATAGAACCCGATGGGGATTGATATTGCATCCAGATGTAATTTGTCATTGGAGTATCTATTGCTCTCAATTCCATTCCCATGTTAAATCTGTAGTCAGTTTTAGAATGACCGTAGTTGAATTAAACTACCGAAAGTGTGTGCTGTGTCAATTACAATTTCTGCAGAATACTTATTTAACAAAGCTAAACTGAAAGATCAACTGACTATTAACTATTTTTCGTCACACTGCAACAAAAACAGTCGTTTTTTATGCATGCGTTGCGGGTCTTAAGTGGCATATTTACTCTTTAGGGAGTAAAAATCCAGCTGTTGTCAGCTCAGTTGTAAATTTCGATTTTAAACAATATTGCATGTATCAAAGGAAGTATTGTTTGTTTAATCGATTGTAGTTAATCGTTGCCTTATTGTAAATTTTTCCACACATCAATAGTATTATGCATACTACCGGCGCCACAATCTTAATCAACGAAACGATTGAATCACTTACTAAACAGCTGATTGTTTCCATTAGAAAATTAAATGGAAAAAAGTTAGAAGTAGTTTTGAGAGATTATCTTCAAATGAAAACTATTTTAGTTTTGATACATAGTTTGTTCAAATAATGATGCAATATGAAAAAATATAGTCCATCACACGCTCATTTTCCAACCTCGGCTTCGTCTCGATCGTAAAACTTGAGCTCGAGCCAAAAAGAGTCACTTCTGATGAACCCTAGTGATGAAATATACTATTTCGCATTTGTTCAAGTCACAACAAACCATCATTGTATTAAAAACTTGCAGGGAAAGTATTAAAGAGACTGTGGTAGTGTCCTCTGCTAGTACAATGAAACTATGCACTATGATATTACACAATGATCTTTCTAATAAAAAATTGCCACAACTTGTCCATCGAAGGATATCTACTTCCGTATACAAAAGACAATGGTACACTAATTCTCTAAATTTGCCATGCATTTGAATGCTTCTGTCTGGATGATTTTGAATGCTTCTGAATGCTTTTGATTCTTCAATGTATAATAAAATGTAGCTTTCAAAAAGGTACACTGATCTATATAAATACAACTTTTTTCAAATTTAACTTATGTCTAGGAAACTTTGGAGACAATACTCCTTCTGTCCATTTAGAAAAAACGTATGCACGTAGCCTACATTTAAAACTTTATCTCAGTTTGGGTGCAGTTAGTTTGACCGAACTACTGTATATTCCAAGCCCGAATGAAAGCTTCATTGCTCCCCAACTAGGCCAGTCCCTTCAGTCAGCCTAGTATTGTCTAGAGTGGGTGAGGTGAAAGACTATTTCCATTTTACTTTCACAACTCAATGTGAACTGTGTGGAACGCGTCGATAGTACCGAAACACACGCTTCTCCTAGCTATCGATCCCAACGGTGAATACTGATATTAAAATTTATTTAAAAGTTTGCTATCTTTGAATTAAACTAAAATTGTTGTAACCTGGTATTCGACAACATAAGCAAGTAAAAATAAAGAATAGTAAAATGAAAATGTTTATTAATATTGATTGGCCAGAAGACTTCTCAGGATGAAGTTTTCATTTCGGGTTCAAATAAATTTGGTACTTTGCTTGGCGTTTGTAAACGGCCACGATAAATTTACTTCTGTGACCTACGACATAATTCCTAAACCAATTCTCCAATATGTTGTCATTTGTTGATTAAAATCAAAATATTAGGTCAATGACCGTATAATGATTGGTTCATAACATCAAACCCAATGACGTTGTTATAATGAATTTTTAATGAGGAACCGTTAACGATTTGTCCATATTATAAAAATAAAACATATACCCTATCACGTTTTGACAACGAATTTATAATGTGAACACAAGGAAGTACAGTAGTACCCCACATGCTTTATGTTTCTAGGAGTATTTACATGTAACATATTTCTAACAGAATATGTAAAGTGCTTTTAAGTCAAATAACACATCAATGGTAACAAATCGACCGCAAAACGCTTGTCGAATGCCAATCATCGGTGTACCGGTATTTATATTTCAAAAGGATTGAATTATTTTGGAAACACAGAAAAATGAACCTCGTAGGGACAGCATGACACAACAGCCAGGTTCATAATCGCTCGCCAGCGAAAGGAAAAGTCACGACCCAAAAGTAAGTTATTGCGACAGGCCCGTGGGCACGACGCTCTGTTATAGGCGTGTCAAGTTGTTCCACCTCGTCAACCCGAATATTCAAACGTAAACGTATCTGATTGTCGTGATACTGAAGTGGAGAGATTGATTCAGTATCATCTACAAACAAAATCTTGAGTTTCCATTTTCTTCTCTTTAGTTCAGACCACATTATTGGTTAGAAATTGTAGTACTTAAAACCACAAACTAAAACATAAGTTTGAATCGAAGAAATCCATGAGAAGAAATGCGACAAGAAATTAAACGTGTGTTTTAAAGTAAAATGATGTGCGATAAGCAATTCATTATCTATCGTCGAATTATGAACTGTTTTGACTTCGAGTACGTTCTAAAAACAAATTACTTGGATTCTTCCGTAGTCTATTTTAGCCATTTCTCAATCCAAACCTAAGCAAGCACGCCTAATCCAGAGTATGTAACATTTGTTTTCCACACCTCGGAGGTGGAGGCAGGCATACAAGGACGTCTGGTTGGTCAATCGCGTCGTCTGCCCACTTTCGCGCTCTACGTCGCCTAATATGTCACTGCTGCTGCTTCCGCTCAAGAATTGCACACCGCCAGGTGTTACACACAGGGAGTGATATTAATTTTAAATTCAAACACGTATTGCTAAATTTGTACATAATAGATCCAGCTGTACTTGTTCATCGGGCAATGGTCTTTACCACACACGATAATTATACTCTTCATTAAACATTAAAGAATAATAAAAGTACGTTCGTAACTTCCCAGGCTTACTTTCAGGCATTATATGTGTATATATGTTATGGACTCCGAAACCGCTCGACAGATTGTAATGAAACTTTCAGGCATTATTAAGCATCTTTCAAGGATTGTTTGTGTGAAGTTTGGTGCAGATCCGTCAAAAGGGCCCCGCCCCAGAGGGTTTTAAGGGGTTCAATGTCAGACTTTTGGAACTACAATGTTTACAAAAATATTTTATTGAAAAGCAGATGTTTACTTTCACCAACTGTTTTGTAGGTTTGAATATGTTTGAATCACAACATTCTGTATAAGTAATGATTTTAAATAGCGCCACAATGTTTCCACAGAATGCACCACAGAAAAGTATTTTAATTTTGGATAAGCCCTTTAAACCCCAATCGCAGCAAACCTGTACACTCAACAAAGTTTAAATTCTCCATTACTGTATTAAATATGTTAACATAAAAAGTAAAAACCTGTGTCAAAGTATTATAAACAATAAAAGGGATGGCAATGTCATTTTTATCTTTCTATACCCACACAATCTAACATAAATTATTAAGTGAATACTGTAATAATCGTGTGTGCTATCCCAAACTAGCTAAACTTGCTGATAGTTAAAAAAATCGAATGAAGATTTACTAATTGAATCGTTTATTTTCAATCGATAGGCCTAGCGTAGCCCAGTTAATAAACTGTACACCCCAACAATGTTTGCAGGATAATCACCATATCATACATTTAGAGTGAAAGGATTTTCAATTTTTTTAAGCCTTAGTCTATGATATACGAAATTGAATTACGTATTTTTTATGTACCAGTATTTTTTTGCAGTTATTTGATTTGTATGTTGTAAAGAGCTTTGTGTATATGTTATTAATCAGTTTTGCTATTAAGTTAATAACATTATCATTGGTCTTGTTATTAACAGCACAAATTACCCGAATTATTATTTAATCAAATACTAAGCGTGTAGAACATTCTTAGATAAGATTACTTTGGGTTATAATTTAATCATCAATTTCATCCAACAAGTAGCTCTCACACTGGGCACTGCTGACTGTACTCAATAAAATCAATGCTTGGGTAGTAATGCTGTATGAAAAGAAATCAAATGTACAATCGGCAATGTGACTTATAAATAAACAAAATCACATCCATAATCGCTGTAAACTCACCGGAGACGGCACTGAAAGTCAAAGGGTCGATTTAATCCATTCACAAATATTGTATAGGAACTTTTTGTCACTAAACACCTCACACTTCACAACGCACGCGCAGACACTGACTTGCGTTCTTCACTGGGCGTGCTGGCGTGCAGCGTCCACCTCTCTCTCTCTGGTCCGTCTGAGATGGTGGCACAGTCAGGCGGAGATTCAGTTAACTGTTTAAACAAGTCGGCTCGGCAATTTCCCGCCGTTAGTAGTGGTGAACTACCGGTATGACCCCACTTTAGGCATGTTTTTCCCATGTTATTCTTATGGGGATCATTTTTTAGCCACCAAATCCAAAAATCCTGATCTTCGCCTGTACACCCCAATATAAATGTTCAATACCATTGTATAACTTCATTACTATTTCAAATCCACATGCATTTACAAGTATATTCTCAAAATCATCAACTTGACAGTGCGAGGTTTGTACGTAAACCATTGATATATAACTACTGCGTAAACTTGGGCATGCTGCTGGCCTTGAGTGCGACCGGTCTTCTCACTTTCAACAGCGACACTAACAACACATCAAGGCTACTTCGGGTACCTCCGCCAAGGTTCGGTGATCCTGAATGCGCAAGTGTTGAGACCACTGCAATTAATTATGCAGACAGCCCAGTCTCAGACATTCTATTCGTTGCCGAGACAGGTGCGCCGTGCCAGACGTCTAGACAGGTGCGTGGTGCCAGATGTCTAGACAGGCGCGCGGCGTCGGACGTATTGACAGTGATTGATGTGATGACAGGTGACAGGTGTTAAATTAAATTTGTACTTTCATATTTTAATTTTCTCCAGAAATTGTTAAAATAAATTTTACAAATACACTGCAATTGTTAAAAATTATTTTATGAATTCACTCGCTGGGAATTATATAAAAAGGCGGGGAAAACCGGTTCCTTCAGTAAGTCCCCTTCCGTCGCAGCCAGCGCAGCCATCTTGATCTCTCTCCTCTGGTAAGTTTTTTTCACATGCGGGGCTGGGCTAGTGGAAGGCGTCGGCACCGTGGACCTGTCTAGACATCCTACGCTGCCACACCCCTGTCTCGGTAGCGAATAGAATGTCTGAGACTGGTCTTTCTGTATAATTAATTGCAGTTGTATGGACACTTCCTCGCTTGCTCGTGCGGAAATGACTTAGTTAGGTGACTGCCTGTCTGTGTATTTATTATTTGAAACTTAGAGAGAGTATTTTTCAAAAGACTTGTGACAGTGAAACTTAAACATTAAAGTCCTAATTTTTGAACTTAGAAAAATTGTACAGGATTTTTCTTTAAAACTTATTATTTTATTATTATTATTTTTATTATTATTTTTAAAACATTATTTTTCTCTAATGACACTTTGTCATTTTTGTATAACTTCCACTATGTTAAAATATAACAAGCCCTGATTTTTATACAATTAGCTGAATTTCACTCATTAAGGTAACACAGGTAACATAGGTAGTTTTCTCTATAGCACACGATGTATAAATGTAGACTCAGCATTCTGAATTGCTAAAAAGTATTTTTATTTAACAAATTTAATTTTTGATTTAGTTTTGATTTTGAAAATTGCAATTATAAAATCTTATTGTATAAAATTGTTTTGAATATTAACATTTAAAATTCTGATTTAAATTATTATTTCTTACAAATTGAAATTGTTAAAATGTAATTTCAACTATATAGAAGATGCCAACCTAGTTTTTAGTTACATATATAAAATGAAGACTACATGAACACTGCTCTGTGTCGCTCCACTCAGCATTCTGAATTGCTAAAAAGTATTCTTTTATTTAACAAATTTAACCTTTAAGATTTAGTTTTGATTTTGAAAATTGCAATTGTCAAATCTTATTGTATAAAATTGTTTTGAATATTGAAATTTAGAATTCTGATTTAAACTATTATTTCTCATTAATTGAAATTGTCAAAATGTAATTTATACTAAAGAGTATTTCTCAACAGTTACTATGGCAGTGAAACTTAAACATTAAAATCCTTATTTTTGAACTTAGAAAAAATTTTACAGGATTTTTCTTTAAAACTTATATTATTTTTCTCTCATGACACTTTGTCATTTTTGTATAACTTCTACTATGTTAAAATATAACAAGTCCTGATTTTTATACAATTAGCTGAATTTCACTCATTAATGTAACACAGGTAACATAGGTAGTTTTCTCTATAGCACACACTGTATAAATGTAGACTCAACATTCTGAATTGCTAAAAAGTATTTTTTATTTAACAAATTTAATTTTTGATCTAGTTTTGATTTTGAAAATTGCAATTATAAAATCTTATTGTATAAAATTGTTTTGAATATTAACATTTAAAATTCTGATTTAAATTATTATTTCTCACTAATTGAAATTGTTAAAATGTAATTTCAACTATATAGAAGATGCCAACCTAGTTTTTTGTTACATATATAAAATGAAGGCTACATGTCAACACTGCTCTGTGTCATTCTCCACCAAAAGTAACCTGATTCGCCACTACAATTTGATACATCAAATCAAGGTAAAACTGTGTAAAGTTTGTAATTTAATCTGTGATAGTAACATAGCTCTAAAATCTCATATATTAATAACTCACAAGACTTGTAGTTTCTGTAAAAGAAATGTTGTTGGTCATTTTAAAAGACATGTACATTCTTGCAACAAATGTCCATATACAATGATTAAATTTGTTGGTGAATCGATTAAAACTAAACTTAAAAATACTCTTCACTCTTGTCCTCTGCCGATAAAATGGACTTTAGTAAGGAGAATCAAATTTATAAAATATTCTATGGATCAAAATGGAAAATTAGTTAATGAGAAAGAATGTATTGCAGATTTTAGAAGCATTACCACCTTAACTATTGAGAAGAGAGATTTAAAGCCTCAAATTAAGAATGCTCTTTTAAAGATTGATGCATCTATACACAAATATCAAGCCCAAGGCAGTGGATGGATTTATGACCATACTAAATATTGGCAGTTACATGTTTACAAGTATAAGCCCTTAACTCCAAAATCATACATTCCCACACCAGAGAGTATTAAATTGACAAAAGCAGTTTTAAATATAAAAAATTTGGATAATAAATGCTTTCTTTGGTCAATTTTAGCAGCTTTATATCCAAGGAATGCTAATGATCATGCTGAAAGGGTCTCTAACTATGTACCCTACGTAAGTCAGTTAAATATGACAAATATAAAATATCCCGTAAAAATATCTGATATAGATAAATTCGAAAGACAGAATAATATAAGTGTTAATGTATTTGGAGTTGAAGACCAGAAATGTATATATCCATTAAGAACAACCAAACTAAATAGAAATACTCACATAGATTTATTATTATTACAAGAAGGTCGTAAATCACATTACTGTTTAATTCGTGATTTTAATATGTTAATGTTCCACTCTACAAAAGATGACCATAAGAAGCATTTTTGCAAATTTTGTTTACAACATTTTTACACTAATGATATATTGGAACGTCATGCAACATATTGTAAAAACTTTGATGCCCAACGAGTGGAAATGTCTAAACAAGATACATTACAATTTAAAAATTATAAATATCAACTTAAAGCCCCATTTGTGATTTATGCAGATTTTGAATGCTTTATAAACTCTAACAACCATACTCCATCTGGATTTGCATTTGTTGTAGTAAGAGATTCTAAGATAATATCTGAAGAGTTGTATAGTGGTGCAAATGTTATGGATGTGTTTTTCAAAAGGTTGTTTGAGACTTATGACTTCATTAAAAGTCAAATGTCGATATATATTCCCCTTGTAATAACTCCAGAGCAAGAGGCATCTTTCCAAAACTCAACACATTGTCACATTTGTGAAAAACCCCTATATTTTGATAGGGTGAGAGATCATTGCCATTCCTCTGGGCAATACCGTGGAGCTGCCCACAATGATTGTAATTTAAACTATAAAGTAACAAAGAAAATCCCAGTATTCTTCCATAACTTGAAAAATTACGATGGTCATTTAATAATGCAACACTTAGGAAAATTTAATAATTGTAAATTAAATTGCATAGCCAAAGATATGGAAAAATATATATCATTCTCAGTTGATGATTTAGTATTTTTAGATTACTATAACTTTCTGTCTCTTCCATTATACAAATTAGCTTCCAATTTAAATATATTTAGATTCATACAAAATCCACTACTACAACGCAAAGGTGTATTTCCCTATGAATACATGACAGGACCAGATAAGTTTGCAGAGTATCTCCCTCCTATAGAAGCATTTTACAGTACTCTAACTAAAGAACATATCTCTCCCAATGAATATGAATATGCTAAAAATGTCTGGATACATTTTAATATAAATAATTTACAAGAATATCATGATTTATATCTTAAAACAGATGTATTGCTACTGGCTGATGTCTTTGAGACTTTTAGAGACCTGTGCTTAAAAGATTACAAACTTGACCCCGTACATATGTATTCACTTCCTGGACTTACGTGGGAGGCCTGTCTTAGAATGACTGGTATAAAATTACAACTATTTCAAGATATTGACATGCATTTGTTTATAGAAAGTGCGATTAGAGGAGGAGTCAGTATGATTTCTACACGTTACGCTAAAGCCAATAATAGATATATGGGCGAACACTATGACCCCAATCAAGAGAGTGTGTATTTAATATATTTAGATTGTAACTCGCTATACTCCACAGCTATGTGTGAGCCACTACCTGTGGATGGATTTCGTTGGACTAATGAGATAGACTACAAAATCTACTAACTCTTATTTCTGAAGAGTTATATAGTGGTGCAAATGTTATGGATGTGTTTTTCAAAAGGTTGTTTGAGACTTATGACTTCATTAAAAGTCAAATTTCAATATACATTCCTTTTGTAATAACTCCAGAGCAAGAGGTATCTTTCCAAATCTCAACACATTGTCATATTTGTGAAAAACCCCTATATTTTGATAGGGTGAGAGATCATTGTCATTCAAATGGCCAATACCGTGGAGCTGCCCACAATGATTGTAATTTAAACTATAAAGTAACAAAGAAAATACCAGTATTCTTCCATAACTTGAAAAATTACGATGGACATTTAATAATGCAACACTTGGGAAAATATAATCGTAAATTAAATTGCAT